CCCCCATTATCAAGTCCCCACCACATACCCCATTACAGTCACTGTCCATCAGCGTAGTAAGATGCTATAGAGTCACTAGTCTTCCCTGTATTATACTGCCTTCCCTGTGCCCCCCCATACGTTATGTGTGCTAATTGTAATGCCCTTTTCCTCTTATCCCTCCCTTCACACCCATCCTCCCCAGTCCCTTTCCTTTGGTATGTTAGTCCATTCTTGGGTTTTGTGAGTCCGCTGTTTTGTTCCTTTAGTTTTTTGTTCTTATACTCCACAGATGAGTGAAGTCATTTGATACCTGTCTTTCTCTGCCTGGCTTATTTCACTGAGCTTAATACCCTCTAGCTCCATCCATGTTGCTGCAAATGGTAGGATTTGTTTTCTTCTTATGGCTGAATAATATTCCATTGTGAATATGTACCACATCTTTATCCATTCATCTACTGATGGACACTTAGGTTGTTTCCATTTTCTTGGCTATTGTAAATAGTGCTGCGATAAACATAGGGGTGCATATGTGTTTTTCAAACTGGACTCCTGCATTCTTAGGGTAATTTTCCAGGAGTGGAATTCCTGGGTCAAATGATACTTCTATTTTTAGTTTTTTGAGGAACCTCCATATTGCTTTCACAATGTTTGAACTAGTTTACATTCCCACCAGCAGGGTAGGAGGGTTCCCCTTTCTCCACATCCTTGCCAGCATTTGTTGTTCCTATTCTTTTCCTTGTTGGCCATCCTAACTGGAGTGAGGTGATATCTCATTGTGGTTTAATTTGCATTTCCCTGATATGTTGTTACATATTTCTTTTTCCATTGAGTCCACTGAGCATTATCAAGAATAAACTGCCCCAATCTGGTTTTTAGAAAACTGGGAGAGGTTAATTTGAGGGTAGTATTTACTCCTATTTCCTTAATTTAACAATATTTTAACAAGTATATAAACTTTAGAAGACTCTCATGCATTGTTGTTACATATTTCTTTTTCCATTGAGTCCATTGAGCATTATCAAGAGTAAACTGCCCCAATTAAATGACATATGAAGACAGGTAACCTTAGAATATTTATTAAATGGATGATTTACAAGGACAGTGTTGAATAAAGGTAAATTTTTCCATCATAGAGAACATGGAACTTTCAAATGCATAACGTTTATATTTAGTTTTGGTTTTTTTTCTTTTTCATATCTGCCCCTTTAGGATTATATCATAGTATATGAAGCACTGGTGAGATTTATGTCACCAGAAATTCCCAGTGTGCTGATTTCCTTGATATTTTTCATCCGATGATTGTACTGCAACAAGTGAGCATCATTAACTGCAACCTTGAAGTGGTCAGATTCAACCAGTACTTGTATCTGAAATGACACATATATAAAACTGTTAGGAATGCCCATTAATTTCAAAAACAGTCTGGCCTAAGCTCAGGGCCCCAAAACTTCATCTTTATAATCATTTGTGGAACTGATTAAAGTCCAGAAAAAACCTGTTAGCAAAAGTAAACTCCAGGTTATTCAATCATCGAAACAAAACAAAAAGATGATAAAATTGTTAGAAGGATATATAGATGAAGCCATAAAGGAAAAGATTAATAATTTATTTCCATAAAAACTTAAGTTTTTATATGGCCTAAATCACCTACAAGTAAAAATAAAAATAAACACTAAAGTAGGAATCCTCTAATAGGGTGGCAAATGTAACGAAGATTGACAATAACGAGTTTTGGCTAGAGTAGGAGAAAGACACTCCTTCCAATGGTTAGTGGACATGTTCATCCTTACATCCCTTTGGAAGCAGCACTTTGGCAACATCTAAATTTTAAACATGTATATTCTTTGAATAAAAATATTTTTCTGGGAAGCAAAGATTTATAAGGACAGTGACTACAGTATTTTAGTAAAATCTTTCCAGGTTTAATGTGTTTAGAGTATTTCTGTACTCTAAATTTTCATCAAAAGGGTGCTGGTTGAATTATTACATATCTAAACAATGAAATACTATTAAGTAACAATGTTCTGATAATGCAAAGATGTCCACCAAATGTGGAATATGGTCCCTCTTAGTCCCTGCCCTTGAGGAGCTTACAGTTTAGGTATTTTATTGCCTACTCTACAGTTGGCCTAACCCAACAATGTGGACCTAATATTTATTGAAGCAGTTCTTAAAACTGAAAAGTGTGCTGTATGTCATAGAAAACACTGGAAAGCTACTCACCAGGTTGCAACTTTTGTGAGACTGGAGGAAGAGGTAAAGGATGGAGGAACTTTTTAGCTAATTTAAAAATCTATAAATTTTTCTTTTCATAAACAAGCATGTACAAATTTTAGAATTTAAAAAGTTTTGATTGCCATGCCAACTATGTTTTAAGAAACTCTCAGTCCAACCTTACCATTAAAGGACTTTTGCCTTTTTGATTAAAGACGCTATTTTTCTCATTTCTGGAAAAATTTAAACTCAGTAGGGTGGTAACAGGGATAAGGGTGAAGGGCCTGAAGAAGCTAGGGAGTGTCCCACCTCTGCTGAGCCTGTGCCCTGAGATGGGGGCTGCTGCACTGCTTAGGTATCCCAGGAAAATGGATAAAAACTCATCTCAAGTGCACTGGGCTTCAGTGTGATTCCCCATGACAAATATACATCATCAATACATAATAGTAGCCATAACTTACTTTGAATGGTTTACCAATTTCAAATGGGAACACAGACTGTCTTTCTTCCTTTCCCCAGGTATTATCCAGCTTTGTATTGCAAACAATGACCCTCCTGTTGTCCTCATTGAAGCGTGGGTTAAAGTGGAAGGCAACATCATTTCCTCTCTTGAAATCTAAAGCAAGTCTGTTTTAAACCAAAGACCCAAGTTAGTACAATGGTTCAAGTGTTATATTTGTGCCAAGTGAAGAACATACAATTTTCTAAAGAGTAAATCATTTTATGAAATACAGGAAAACTTTCTAAATGGAAAAACAAACCAGAGAACGGGAAAGTATTCTAGGCCAAGTATGTGGTGTACTGCCGTTGTATCTTAAAGTAAGCGAGACACTCTGTTGAATTTTTTGGCCTCATTGTCTTTGGTCACATCATTCTGTTCAGCTGTAATTCCCTCTACTGCCTCTCCTCATGAAAACCCTTCAACGTTTCCTTATAGAAGGTTAGGCACTTTATGCATTACACTGCCAATAATAATGGCTACCTCTTTCCTGCCTTGCCACGTTATTTTTAACACCTATTAGAGGCAAGCCAGTCACATAAAATCAGAGCTTTCAAATATCAAATACCTAGCTTCTTCATAGTTAGCCAAAACCCTAGTCCTAGAGCAGCAAGAACGAGAACGATGTAGTTAATGTTCAGTGTCCTGTGGCTACAGTGCAGAATCATGGCGATGTGCGGAACACGCCATGGGGCAGAGCGGAGTTGACAGAAGCATTGGCCCAGCCTGCTGACCCTGTTATTCTCCTTGGATGTTAACGCAAACCCAAGTCCTCTGGCTGATAACGTATTAATGCTATCCCTCAGTTTCTCAAAGTGTATTTCATGGAGCACTAACAACAGAATCAGCTGGTGCTCTTGTTTTAAAACAAAGTCTACACTCTAGACCTTCTAACAGTGATTCTTTGGGTATTTTCATTCACACAGTGACACACATACAACCACACATGTATCTTCCATGATTAAGTTCACAAGGAAAAGACCAATAAAGTCAAGTGGCAGTAGAGTTTGTATTTGACTAAATAACCCATGGCTCTACTTTCTCTGCAGGGAAAAGGAAGACATTGTCATCTTTATCACCTTAAGCATTCTTTTTTCCATGGAATTCCTCACATAGATTTTGCAGAACCAAGGAACTGTTTTTCAGTTTACTTCCACCCTAACCACCTCAACCAAAATTACTTTTGATGTGCCACAGTCTCAGTCTATATCCCTGGTGTTACTGGAGCTAATATTACCAGTGCAATAACCCTGATAAGGGAAAGATGCCACTGTGGGTCCGTGTGACTGCAGCTGTGGGAGGGCAGCAGAGATTACATCATGAACACTGTACACACAGGATAAGGAGAAGAGACAGGTTTTGTAACTGACTGTGAGACAAGGTGTACTGTGCAGGGACTACTGTGTTTAGAGCAGCTGTACAGTTGTGTGGAAAGAAGAATGGGCTTAGGGCAGTGACCCCCACACAGAACCCGAGGGGCGGGCTGCAGGTGGAGTGAGGGGGCTATCTGAATGTAAAATGATCATATCAGAAAGCTGAGTCCACCTCCTGGGAACAAAGGAGGTGCCTCCTGTTGATTCACTCGGATCAAGGTGACAGACATTCATAGAGACTGTTTATGGATTCTTGAATAAACCTGTGTACATTGCTTGAATCTATACCTTTTGTGTGCTCTCTATATGACCCAGAAACAGATAAATTAATGGCCATAATAATACCACTAACCTCAGGGACAGGCACAGCGTCAGGATATCATTAACCTGCTTGTGTTATATGTAAGCATAGCCAATGGTGATAACCAGAGGCAGGCATCCCAGAGCAGCCAGAAGTCAGCACGATTTTTCCTAAAGTAGCTCAAAGTCTTACCCTCACCTAGCTCACCTCAATCAAACCAGTTCCATGCCTTTAACTTGTAGAATCTTTCCAAACCTTTTAAGTAAATACTGCCTACTCAGAAGACTGGGGTTCCCCATCCTGCCACTTACCACCTGTAGACCAGGCTGACACCATGGAAATCTGTAACTCTGCTACTGTGCCCAAGAAGCTCCATCCAGGAAGACAGAAAGAGCAGCAAAGCACCCGAGATCTGAGACTGCACTGCAGCCTGCACAACCGCAGGGCAACTTGCGCAGATATGAGGACAGAGTGGCATAAGATTCGAGCTCTCATATCAACCCAGAACCATGTCCAATGGGATCTTTTTGGCTTTGACCCTAATTTTTGATGGACTTCTAGACAACAGTGCACACTTGGTTTTTTTAGACTATATGGCTCAGAGGTGGAGGGATGGCCATATGTTACATTACAAGGGCTCTACTTTAATTATAAGGCTTTCTCTACCAGTAAGAACCAATGGAATGGATTTTTGCTGTTCTTTGCCCTCACAAAGTAGAATTCTGCTTTATTTTGGTTTGGGGAGAAAAATAAGATTCAGCCAGAGAAACCTTTTCCCCTTGGTGGGAACACATACTGATTTACAGGCTAATCCCACCCATGGTATAGTCAAGATTCCAAATGTGTAGTTTTAAAAGTTCTGTAAAAATTCAAAACAGATCATCCTTTATTCAAAAACCAATCAACAATTATGTTAGACTTGCTCTTTTTGCCTTTTACCTGTTGGCACTGGGCTTCACTGTGCCCAGAATTGTTATTAGCATGCGAGGCATGACTCCCCCAGGCAAAGGCAGGTCATAAGGCACCGTCTGGGAATGAGAAAATATACACGAATCAGTGAGGAGTCATGTTTTCTTGGGGAAAGAAAGACAAGGATGTTACTAAAGTTCAATCACTATTAATATGTGTGAATAACACAGAAGTCTAAGCTTTCTTTCTAGACTCTGGGGCCACCTTGCCCCGGGCCTGAAGAGACCAGGCTCCCTACATGCACAATTAATAAGTAAGAATAAAGCCATCAGTTCATTGGTGCCAAAGGCAGAACATTCCATTTTGGAGCACTTTACCTCTCACTACAAGGGGCATCCAAATCTATAACTCATTCCCTTAAGACTATATTTTGGAAAGGCTTAATAAGCTAGACCTTGCAATTAATATTAACATTTTTATGCCACTCTTAAGATCCTTGTCATATAACATACTTCATTGTGGTTATTCTTCTTTCTGAGGGCAGGCTTGAGTTCTTGTAAATTCTACTCCCACACACCAGCAGAGTGCTTGAATATGGCAGGCACTCAATATTTGTGGAATAAACACATTTCAGTTAATACATTCCCTAGTTCATTCCACAAATATTCATTGACCATCTGTGTTCAAGGTGCTGTAAATATCCCCAAAACTCTATCTTTGGCCTCTTCTCTTTTCCCATTGTAATTTTTTCCTCCTGGGTACAACCATCACCCAAGTCTTTTCTCTCTAGCCCTGATCTCTACAGTCCTGTACTTCCTCCTCTCTTGATGAGCTACTAGTGCCTCAAGTCCAACAGTGTGGGCTGGAATTGTCTCCCCCACCATGTCCCCCATCAGATCCCTTCCCTGAGCTCTTAGTTTGCACTGACCCTTGGCTGGAGCCCTAGCTGTCCAGCCTTCAAGAGTCAATATTATCTCTACTCCTAAGACTTAACCACTAGAACCTGGGGCTCTTGCTCTGTGATCTCTCTCACATCCACCTCTTCCTGTCCATGGCCTCCATGTCCCCCTCTGTCTACAGCTATCTGTGGTCCAGACCCTGTTCAAGGCCACTCAATCTCCAGTGCTTTCTCATACTCTCCTCTGAGCTAAAATGATCAGATGCTACCAATGCCATCCTCCACATAGTCCTGAATAGGTCTGATCCCACACTACTATTAAACTCTGTCCTTGTGTCTAACTCTTGTCTCCCAACTAGACTACACACCTGGAAGGGAAGGATCTGTGTCTGAGAAATGTCTGGAGCTCCACAAAGATAGGTTTTATGCTTAGAATTCATTTACTAAAATGTGTTTCAATATAAATGAAAATTCAATCCTTAGAGCACAGAATTATCTTTAGAAGTTTTTTCAAAACCAAATTACCTTCGTTCCCGTACATGTTCTCTTGATGACCCTGGACAAGTTATATATCTCTCTATTATCCCATTTCCTCATGTGTAAAGTGGGGATAAAGACAGTATCTTCTTACAGGGTGGCCATGGGGTTAAATGAGATCATTCACATAGAAGCACACTGCTGGCATTTATTATATAATCAGTGTTTATTAAAAATAATAACCCAAACTTTCCCCCATTACTAATGATCTTGATGTACTTTAAAGCTGCTTTACAGATGCCTTCAAAAGATCCATTAGCTTCTCTTTATGCTAACACTACATATACCAAATTCAATATGAGCAACGATTTTTTTCTACTGGACTGACATATACCATGGCTGATCCTTGAAAAGTGGCTCTAAGCATTGAGTTTAGAAGCCCTTTGCGGGTCAGTGACCAGAGCCAGGTCCCAGCCAGAGCACAGCAAAGTGATGTACCACTGCTCAGCCAATTGCTGGGTTCCTTCCTCTTTAGCTTTGTCCTGGTCACAGTCAAGTATATGAAATGACTAACTTCATCTTACCAGTGGTCCAGCAGGAATACCAAAGGGGCTGGCACCAGGGTAGGCTCCAGGAGCACTTGGCTGTCCAGGAGGCGGGTAGGTCCCAGGCCCACTTGGTTGCCCGGGGTAGGGTCCCGGTCCAGGGTAAGCAGGTGCTGTTGGGCCAGGGTAGGTTCCTGGAGGTGCCTGTCCAGGGTAGGTGCTCGGAGGTACCTGTCCAGGGTAGGCTCCAGGAGGTGCCTGTCCGGGGTAGGCTCCAGGATAGGAGGCCCCTGGGTAGCCCCCTGCCCCAGCCGGCTGGTTTCCCCATGGACCAGGCCATCCCTGGGAATTTGGGTTTCCAGACCCAGATAAGGCATCATTAAGCTGGAAAAAAGGACATAAACAAACAATTACAAATGAAAAACATTCACAAAAACAGAATCTTTAGAAAAACAAATATGTGATCTAAAAAGTAGAGGGATATGGTGAAGGTATGAAATTCATAGCAATAAAATCTTTCCCACCTATTAAATAGTTCTGAGTTCCTAAGACCAAATTAGACTTTGGGATTACATATGCTCTATCACTTTATTATTGCCTCCCATTATCTCAGATCACGGAGGGTTGCATCTCTTAATTTGCTAAGGTCAGAAGCTCAGCATCTTCTATGTAAAAGCACATTCTTTCTAACTGGCATGAGAAAATCAATCACACAAGTCAGGATGCTCAGGCTGCACCATCTTTCCCCTTCCTCATGTGATTTCTCAGCTCCTGCCCATGGAAGCCACCTGCTTCGGCCCCAGGCCTTTCAGTAAAGGGCTTGCTCTTGCAGTCAGTGACTCCCAGGCCTCTCTCTGCCTGGCTTTCTTCCTGAATCTGTTGCTGGAAAAACAGGATTCCAACTAACAAGCCCTCATTGGACAAGTGAGGCCAGAAGAAGTCACGTGATGGGGGAGTTTAAAAAGGGAGAGGTCTGATGGTAAAATAAATAAATAAATAAATAGAGATAGAGATATAGACAGACAGAGAGAGATGGAGAGAGAGAGAGAGAAACCCTCAACCTATGAGGAATGTATTTTAGGAAAGAAAATCAGACATATAACACCTACCGAAAAACTGTCTGCCATTTTCCTGAGGGGAGAAAAAAAAAAGATTATCATTTGGTCCTAAAAGATTTCACCAGTTTCCATATACATTATACATCATAGTTAGTTCATTGTGTAGTACTAGTCAATCTACAAGCATTCATCTAACCCAAGCCCCCTGCTGTTTCTCAAATACACCTAACTCAATAGTGTGGAATCACAAAAATGTCTCATCAAAGGGTGGGGATGTACTCCAGCTAGCTTAACAAGCCCTATTTAACTCATAACTGAACTTTAGTCACACCGGCCTGTGTTCTGACTCCTGGAATGACAGGCCATATGACACAGGAGGGAGAAGAACAAGGAAGAAAATGTGTTCCGCCCTTTTTCTAGGCAAAAATGTAAATGGCCCTGGTTTATCTTTGGTCCTTCTGTCCTTCCTGTGCACTCCTCTACCACCACCTCTCATAAAGCGTTTAGGTTAATGCTGTCCACTACCTCTCCTGTTTCCACTACCACCCCATGTCCTCTTCCAGGTTTAAGGAGGAAAGCCGAGCTGGTTGACTCCTACTGGGCTCTGAAAGATAATGTCCCTAGACACACTGCTGCCAGATTTATTATCTCATTTGCACACATTTATGCCTGTGCTGGGCCAGGCACTGTGCGGGCTCTTGTCTGGATCTGAAGATAGATAGGTCAAGATCTGAGTGGTCAAAGGACCCACAGGCCAGCAGGATCACAAGTGACTGTCACTGTGAGTCAGATACGTGCTGTGGGAAGTCACAGCGGGTACGATTACTTCTAAGAGGGGAAGGGACAGTGCTGTTTGAGCTAAGCCTTGAGGAAAGGTGAGACTGGGATATGGGGCAACAAAGAAGAAAGGCAGGCACAAGATGCTTGTCTTCTTTTTTGTTTAAATACTTGCTATTCCAAATGAAACCTCTGGCAGTATCACAAACTAAGGTTAAAAAAAAAAGGCAATAGGGAGTAAAATATTTTGGGGTCAGATGCTACAAAAGAGGGTTGGCCTTGCCCAAAGCTGCATCAAGGGGTGGTGTTGAGACATCATTCCTGCTTCCTCCTGATCTTCCCCCTCTGCAAAATCCCTGATCACATGCAACACTTTTATACCTCCTCCTGCTGCAGGCGCTTGGCAGAGAGAGGAGGGCAGCTTTGGACTCTTGAGCCTGAGTGACTTTTCTAGGCTCAGGATCACCTGTGCTATGGCCTAAACTACTCAGACCTTACATAAAAAGAATCTCATTTTCCTTGAGTTGTCCAACTGTTGTATTTACCCAATCATTTTAAGAAATGATATTGCCTCAAGGTAGCCAATAAATGGCAGCTCTTTGATAGGTCCTAGAAATGTTTTAGTGAACACTCAAAAAGGCAGAGCTCCTCCTTGGACTTAATGTTCTTCATTTACACATATGAGATACTTTATCTACTCTGCTATTATCTACATCACAGTTAAATATTACCTTCCAGTAAACTTCTTGTTGCTCATCCCTTTTTTTAATCTAGGTATACTCTAACATATTTGAAAGCAGTTAGGTGATCACCTTACCCATTTTCCAAGGTGGGAAACAGCTGGCAATGTGGGAAGTCACAGTGACTCTCCTGGGGCTAACATTCCCTGTATTTCCTACAGTATTTGGTCTTTTAAAGCAAAAGTCAGGTGCCCTTCTGCTTGTGCTTCCTTCCTCAAAAGCTGCCATTGCCTAGAAAACTGCTGCTACTGTAGAAGGAACTTGAGAGGAGTTGTTACGGAAAAGGAAAAGAAAGGACATTTCTTAAGCCAAGAAAATAAAGCCCTCTCGTTCTGGACGCCAGCAGGAAACAATTCCCAACTTCACAGTGACAGAGAGCTTAGTTCCTTCAATTATACGAACCTTTCTTCTACCTGGGCACCATACCAAAGATCAAGGAATGACTTTGTGTTTTGACTTCTTTAAGATACCCCGTGTGAGGGGCTTATTCCCACCCTGAGCACAGTGGCATCTCACGTAGGGTACTCTGTTGTGGGGGGCCGTCCTGTGTCTTGCTGGCTGTTTAGCAACATCCCTGGCTTCATACACAAGACACCACCAGCACAACATCCCTCCCCCCAAACTGCACAACCAAAACTGTCTCCAGATATTGCCAACTGTCCCTAGGGGGGAGGAGGGAGGGGACAAAGTCGTGCAGGGTCAAGAAACACTGGTATAGGCTGCCTAGCTTGTGTATCCCGACAGAAATGTTCACACACAGGTCGATAAAAAACAAAAAGATAGTTTCAATGGTTAAAACCACCTAAATCTGTGCATTGGCCTCAGAGTGTCTAATCAGTGTAACTCCAATCAAACTGAGATGTGTCCAAAAACTGATTACAACCAGAAACTCACGTAAAGACAGCATTTCTAAAATTTAACATTTATCCATTTCAAAGTCTCTGCTCAAGCATATTCGGCTTATTTTCCAACCCAACCAAAACAATCTGAGAAACAAGCAGATTTCACTTTATTTCCACTGTGTTTCACACAACACTTTGGATGACAATTTTGACTGTGTTGTGCACATTAAACAAGCCCATTATAATAACAACACCCTGCATTTGCATGATGTTTTTCAATTTACAAAGCACTATCCCCATACCTTGCCTATTTTGATTCTGATATAATCTTATAAGATTGACAAGGGAAAGTTAATATCCCCCCTTTCGAGGTGAGGAAACTGAAGCTCAGAGAGCTAACCTGGTGGCCCAAAGTCATTCTGTCACTGGCAGGCCAAGAACGAGGGGTCAAGCATCCTGACTCCTTATCTAGGCTCATTTTACAATAATATAAAACCTCACACTTTGAAATTTCAAAGTGTAGTCCTTTGAAAGTGTTAACTGCTTCATTTAAAAATTAATTCTCTGGCCTCTTCATTCAGAATTCCATACATGCTGAAATTGTAAACAAATTGAAAAAAGCTGAGTGACTCATTCAGAGTGCAATAATATCGAATACAAAGATGCCATTTTGCACAGTCACTTTGCTAATTATAACCACATTTAAACCAGTAAAGTGTACTTTTCCAAAAATTGGGTAAGCACCATTTTGATTATCTCAACTCTGAACTATCAGATCTCTTTTTTGAAAAGGGTTATAACCAACGTTCTTTTGAAACCAAGATTAATAACTGAAAAAAATTTTAGATAAACAATTTCTTTATTTGCCCAGAAAATTTCCTTTTTTAAAAAAATTTTTTTAGAGAGTAGCTTATATAGAGAGAGGCAATCAAATGCAAAAAGTCTTCCTACTCTACAGATACTATAGATAACATGAACTCTAACCTGGCATTCCCAGAATCAGGGAATTTTGAAGAGCCTGAAAAGAAACACTGATAAAGACAAACGAATAGAGGAAATACTACCTGGGTCTTTATGTTAAGGAAAACCACAGGCAGTGGTTCAGTGTCACTTTGGAATAAGGAATTTAAATATGAGTCAGAGTGTAGGCCACTTTATTTGGCTGTTAACTGTAGCTTTTCCCTTTAATAGAGTGTCTATCCACCGTGCTGTGCTATTCTAGGCCCCACCTAGTAATTAACCCAGTTGCCTGTGTTCCCTGGAGCACTCCTGAAGTTTCTGCTCACAAACGGCCCTGACCTTTATACAGGCTGTAAGGGAGGATCGTGAAGCTATTTCCTCAGAACCCCAAGGCACTACCCACACTCCTCGCCAAGAACAGAGCAGAGGCAGTTTCCCCTTCTTATCCTTACTGAAGTATGGAGCAGGGCCTGAGGAGAGTTCCCTTTCCAAAGTCAATTCAGTGATGCTGAGCTGGACTACAGGAAATTAGTCCTTCATGAGGATTGCTTTCTCATTACCGTGTCTCAGCATCAAGGAAGGTAAAGTTACTTTGTGCCTCTCAGTTACTGATTTTGTTCCCTCCTGTGGAAAAGCTGACCATCAGTCAAGAGGGAACACCTGATACTCAGTCAGCAACAAGTTGCAAGTAGACAGCAGGCACCGCCCTGGCAGGCTTACTACATGGAGTCCGTGCGAACCAGTTCAGGCCCCAGTCACAAGTATTAACCTCAGTAGGAGCCTGTGTCCAGAGCCATGAGCTAGGAAAGAGAGGCTATATTTTAGATCAGTTACCATGAGTCTCAAGTTCATTAAGCTTACAAGCCAACTGATATTTAAGGTCACCATGAGATTCTCAAGTTATATATATATATATATAGGTCTCTTTTGCAGTCACAATTTAGAGTCTCACTGAAGAGGGTTCTAGGCAAATAGGTACCTAAATTTTAGATGAAACCAACATTGGCCTTTTGACCTCACTAGCAATAAGGGAAAAGTCTTTAGAAAGCACTTATGCATATTTGCGGCACAGCAAAACATCATTGATTAAGGACCTCTGGGCAGAGTGAGACTTGCCTATTCCGTTGAAAAACGCTTACTTTGGGGGTCCAACCTATCAGGCAGGGCTCCCCACTTCTGCTACTCCTGTAACCCAGTGAGGCATCCTCCTATTGCTTCTCAGCTCAAAACTTTCAAGGGCCATCATCAGACTTCTCCCCAGAATATGGAGTAAGTGATGATTCTAAAAGGTAAGGCCCAAAGGTTATGAATTTAAGAAGCAGCTCCAGTCTCCCAAAGATCAAGGATGAGGCACAACCATCAAAGGAATGAAAGACTATTCCAGAGATTCGATGTCTGAAAAGGAGACTGTTGTGTAAAAGTACACTGTGATTATTAAACTTAAACTTTATGGAAACACAATTTCCTGGTATGAAAGATAAACTTGATAAACTAGAGGCAAATGCATCAGAATTTTGAAAGTTCATAGAATAGTCTCCCATGCTCTGTGCGCAAGTGGTCAATTCTTATTGCTATCATTTTCTTCAGAATTAACTACGCCTGTCTTCCCTTTCTTTCTCAGAACCCTAGAAACAGACTGGGTCACTGAGGTCCAACCCTCCTCATGGTCCAGCAACCCAACTCCCAGGAATCAGCTTACAAATATTCCACAGGACCTGGAATAGGAATCGCTAACTTTAAAGCGCTGACCTGAAGCCTAGGTGTCCTCACCTATGTGTCCCCGACTCCCTGGCCTCGAGCCGCTACTCTTCCGGGTGGGCACATCTTAGTGTACTTTTTATTTGAGCAACTGAAACTTAAGAATAAACCCTCAAGCATGTATTAAAAGCCCCAACCCTGTTAGGGCTCTGCACACTCGGACCAAAATTCTGTCACGCGCCCCACAACCTCAGCACAGGTTTGCGAGCGTTAATGCCCAGTTAGCCCGTCCGGGTGGGGATGAGTCACTGATTTGCAGAAGATTAGGGTTTGCGGTCTTTGCCAAGTCGGGCCCATGCCCACTCAGGCTCTGGGCAGCACCGTTTTCCGCGGGATCAGCACCGCATCCCGAGGGCGTCCGCAGCCGCTGGGGCTGCCGCCCTGGGAGACCTCATTCGCGCCCCGCCCCCTCCACTGCCGCCAGCAAGACCAGGTGGCCGGGCAGCCAGCAGGGGTCGCGGGAGCAGCCCTGCACTGCCCGGGGCAGCACCCCCTGCCCCGGGGCGGGGACCCTGGTCCCTAGCAGCGAGCTCGAGCGGCCCGCGGGTCTTGGGCGCGCGCGTCCCCCACCCGCTCGCTGGGGACCCGGCCCAGCGGCCGCAGGGCGGCACTGCGCCCGCCCCGACCGCGCAGCTAGGAGTCTTCGTGAGGCGTGGCTAACTTGCCCTGAGTCTCTAGGGCCCCGGCCCACAACGGCGCCCCTCGCTGCGCACCAGGCTCTCCGGCTCTCCGCGGCCGCCCGCCGGCCCCGGCCCCGGCAAACCAAGCCCGCTCCCCGGGGTCCCAGGCCTCCCAAGGTTCGCGCACCGAGCAGCGCCCGGGTCCTCGAGGGCCGCAGCCGCCAGCAGACCCTGTCCCCGTGCCCAGTCCCGGGGCGCCCGCGCCTCACCCCTCGCCTCGGCGCTCGCTCGCGGGCTCCGGGGGTCCTCCTGGCGCCGGCGTGCGGTCCGAGGGCGGGCGGCGGCTCCGCGCCTCAAATACGCCCGGCCCCGCCCGGCCCGCCTCTCCCTGGGCGGGGCCGCCGCCCCTGTTCTCCCGGCCCGCGCCCGGCGCCAGGCTCCCGGGCGCGCGAGACTCGTTCCGGAGCGGGGGGGCGGCGTGGGAGACCCTGAGGCGCGGCCCGCCCCCTCGGCCGCCGCCCGAGACCTGGGGTGTGGGCGCACTGGCCTCCCTCTCTCCGGCACCGTCCGGATCCCGGAACTTATGAGGCAGGACGGGAGGCGCCTGTCTCCTCGGTGTGTGCTTCTTTGGGGAGTTCCGCTTGCTTGCTTTACCCACGCTTCCTTATTTTCTGTCTAATTATCACTCTCGTGCCTTCCGCATTTACTTTACCCAAACCCTCACCCAGCATGGAAGTCTTTCCAGGAAGTGCACGGTGGCGGGCCACCGGGAGCGCCCATCAAGTTTTCTGAGATGCTGAGTGAGGTGATCCCGCGTTCTCGGCCTGGCATTCGTCCGCGTTCCGAACCGTGGCGTAGGCGCACGCCTCTCAGACTGAGAGACCTAAATTATTTTGCTATTTGCTCCCCCGCACCTACCCCAGAGTTTGGTGTATAATGGGGTTCTCGTTGAAACAATACTTGTTTCATGTTTCATGTGAATGAACGAAATAATGAATCACGCGCTTCCTAGAAAGTATGACTGTTTTCTCAGACTGGGAAGGGTTCTGGTGAAGGAGGGAACGGCTCAATGCAAAAGTATCTGTGGTAAAGACAAGGTAGAGGACGAGCACTGCTACAAGAAAGGTTGTTACAACAAATAGCAATTCTTGTGAGAGAGATGGTATTTATTTGGTATCATTACGCTGGGTAATAGCTGAGTAAAATGGCTAAGGATATCCAAGATAGATTTTCTCTTTAAGTTTGACCAGCCGCTCACAAAAATCAATTTGGAATGGATTAAAGACTTAAATATAAGACCGAAAAACGTGAAACTCCTAGAAGAAAACTTATGGAAAAAGCTCCTTCACATAGATCTTGGCAATGATTTTTTGGATATGACACCAAAAGCACAAGCAAAAATGAACAAGTAGGACTACATCAAACTAAAAAGCTTCTGTACAGAGAAAAAATAATCAACAAATGAAAAGGCAACCTACAAAATGGGAGAAAATATTTGCAGACCGTATACCTGATTAGAAGTTAGTCCGCAAAATATATAAGGAAGGTATACGACTCAATACCAAAATACAATCTGATTAAGAAACACAAAAGATCTAGATAGACATTTTTTTTTCCAAAGAAGACATGCAGATGGTACATAAAGAGGTGCTCAACATCACTAATAATAAGGAAATGCAGATCAAAACTACAATGAGATATCACCTCACATCAGTTAGAATGACGAGTACCAAGAAGACAAGAGGTAAGTGTTGGTGAAGATGTAGAGAAAAGGGAACCCTTGTGCACTGTTGTTAGGAATGTAAACTGGTGCGGCCACTCTAGGAAACAGTATGGTGCTTCCTCAAGAAATTAGAACTACCATATGATCCAGCAGTTCTACTTCTGGGTATGTATATCCAAAGGAAATGAAAACTCTCTTGAAGAGATATCTGCACCCGCCATAGTCATTGCAGCATTGTCCACAATAGCCAAGATACTGAAACAACCTAAGTATATTGATGGATAAATTGATCAAGAAAATGTCACACACACACAGGAATATTATTCAGCCATGAGAAAGGAAATCCTGCCATTTGCAACAATATAGATGGACCTTGAGGGACTATGTTAAGTAAAATAAGTCAGGCAAAGATAAATACCTTATAATCTCACTTATATGTGGAATCTAAGAAAGTTGGACTCATAGAGTAGAATTCCAGGGGCTGGAAGGTGGGGAAATAGGGAGATGTTGGTCAAAGGTTACAAACTTCCACTTATGAGATCAATAAATTCTGGGGTTCTAATGTGCAGCATGATGGCTAAAGTTAACAATCTGTATTGAATATTGAAAGTTACTAAATGAGTAGTCTTAAATGTTTTCACCCTGTACTTACAAAAAGGTAAATGTGAGGTGATGGATGTGTCACTGACTTTATTGTGGTAATAATTTTACAATATATGTATGTAAAAAATAAACTTAGATAATAATAGCCATTATTCACTGAGCACTTACTATATGCCTCGTGTTTAACTAGTACTTTACATACATATATGGGGGTAGGTATTTTTATCTTCATTTTGAAGATGAGAACACTGAGGCATAGAGACTTAGGTATGACCAAAATCACAACATAGGTCAAGTGGAGTGTATGGCAAAGTCTGAGAAATAAATGTTTGGAAATGGGATATTTGCCCTTCAACAGATTGAGGCAAAGAAAAGAAAGGAAGCAAGGAAGGGGAAAAGCCACCAATAATAGGCCACCAAAAGTTGGCAGATTTAGAAGTTGGAAGGGATCATACAAGAATGGAAAGAATAACTGATCACCATGTGAAAGTCTCTGAAAGGGAAGATTAAACGTTCGATTCCAATGTTTCAGTTCTGAGGAGCAGTTTCCTATTTCACACTGGGATCCTGTATCTGGCTGATGGCATATGTGAGAAAACTTCTGTATCTGCTGGACCTATGCCTGGGAGCCTTCAGATTTTTGGCTAGATGAGAAAGGGATTTGGCATTAGAGAATGGAAAGAGGACAGAGGTCTAAGGAGGGGATGTCAATGCAGCCTCTTTTGCTAGTCTGGAACCCCCTGGAGAGAAGAATGTGACTGTCTTTACGAAAGACCGTCAGGGCCCAAGAGACAAAATACAGTCCCTGGGAGTGAGGCAGCCGTTCTTCCCTTTCTGCATACACCCAGGGCTGTGCTGGCTCTGCGGACTTGCAGCGCACACTCCTGGGACAGGCGTCAGGGTTCTCACCACGGAGAAGCCTGGCAGCGTCACCAGGAGTTCCCTCAAGTGAGTAATGGACTTTTCCTGAGAGGCGAGGCAGACGCTGCAGCTGACAGGACTGGCACACTGGTTTTGTCAGCATGAGAGGCATGCGCTTAGGACATGGGGCGGGGTGCCCTGAGCAGGGGAGGGGCAGGAGAGGGGCTCTGCTCATGCAAGAACAGGACTTTGGGGAGCCTATGAATAATCTCTGTGGGCCAAAGGAGGCCCAGCTAGAACTGGCCCACTTGTAGTTGTGATGTAACTTGGTGATATAGTTACACATGTTTAGTGTTTCGGGCAATGATTTTATTATTTTACTATGACTTCACCCAGTGAACCAAAATGGAAAATTAGTATTGCAGTATTGTGTTATAATCTCACGAATATAATGTGATTGAAGAGTGGAAATTAATGAAAAATCCAAATTACATGTTACCAAACATACATGGAGAGATACTTAAATATATAAATCTCTATCTGTCTGTAAGTAACTCTAAAAACAAGATAAATTAATGTTTTTAAAATGTATGGTTCATAATGGGCTGGAATGCTCCTACAAGCTTAGCAATTACATAAGGTAACCCATTAGCCTTATAATGTTGACTGCTTGGGATCCCATGATGTTGGAGAACAGTACCCCTCACTCACCCCACCCCGACCACCAGGGTCCCCTAGCTGTTCGTCCTTGCACACAATACTCATTCTAACTTAACATCCTTGCACAGGTTGTTTCTGTATCTGGAAATCTCTTCTGTTGTCTGCTGACTAACTCTCTCACCTCCTTCAAGTCTGCTCACATGTCACATTCTTCATGAGTTGACTATTTTGCCACCCTATTTAAAATCACAGCTCTAACCTTCCCCAGTTCCTCTTCACCATGCTCTTATTTTTTCCCATAGTATTTATCAATTTCCAGCATGTTTTAGATTTCACTATTTCTTATGTCTGCTGTTTATTTGTGGTTCTCCCTGCCTTTCTTCACTCCCCTCCCTGACAGCAGGGTTCTTCTCTGTGTTATTCACTGATGCGATGGATCCAAGTGACACATAGTTAGGCACTCAGTGTTTGCTAAGTGAATAAATTCATAGTGTAGGCACTGAAGAAATCCTGTGGCCATTTGATTTTATTACTTTCAATGCTCTTACCTCTAATTAACTAATCTCCCTTAAAATGATAAAAAATTTTAGAGTGGAGAATTCACTAATAAGTCACTGTTTGTAAAATACAAAAGTAACCCTTTTTAAAAGGTTTATTCCCCAGGGAACTGACTAAAGATTGACCACTTATTTTGGGTAAACAGACCTAGTTATTCAAAGCAACTCCATTATAAAGCAATTATCAGCCAACTCTTCAATACATTTTGCATAGGAAATTCAAATTATGTATACTCTCCTTTTAACCTCATGTTATCTTCTGTAGGAAGAAATAGGTAGATATTATCAGCTCATTTTTACTGTCAGGGAAAGTGATTTACTTTTCCAAGCTCATCCTTACCTAGGAAGAGAATCCGGAAGTCCCAACTTTTACAACTCATCTAGAAAAACACTGAGCAAAGAATCATTGTGGGAACTGGTTTATGTAAATTAGAAAGAAAACCAAGTATGGTCTGGTTCCTAAGTAATTCCTATACACTCTAAAATAACCAAATAATTAACACATTGTATAAAGATAAATTATTTCATCTCGTTCTCTACCATAAGAGGGAAATGTCCTCATAAAGGACTCACTTGATGGAACTGGGGTGGCTTGACATCCTCTAGGATAAATTTGTAAGTGCCTTATAGTGGCTGCTACTGTTCTTGCATCACTGTCTCCTCCAGCTTATACAGAAAAGTCATGGTGTGCGGGGGATGAATCACTGTGTGAGGAGGAATTAATTATGTCCCTCTTCTCTGAAGAGGGAACCTGGCGGCCAATTTACTTGAGGGATCATCCATAGTAAATGATTAATCAATGGTTATTTGTCTCTTAAGAAAATGTTGTAAATCTTAAGACTTTGAGTCATGAGGCCACATGGCATCCCTCCACTCAGAGGTCAGCTGCTGGTAATAAGGAAAAGTGATAGCCAAGCAGGTTGTTATGGAAATCAGGGATGAGTCACCCCCTTGCCTTTCTATCTGGTACCTATGGTGATTTCAGAGATAGATAAA